CAGTATGCAATAAAATTTTAATCTATTTTACAGTTCCATAGTTGTAAAAATTTCCCTCTCTATCGCAGGTGGACTTGGCTCACTTCAGAACTCAAGCAGATTGCTAGACAGTGTAACATTAGTTTATGGTGCTGTATTAGGTTAAAGCTAGCCATGAGTGGGAACAGAGGCAAGAGTTGGCCAGAGCCAGCAGTGACTTCAGTGGTCTGTAAGATAGCCTCTGTACGTGTTCAATCTGAATGTGAATGGATTAGCACACACCACACATTCAGCTACACAGGGAAACTTAAGACTGCTTTTAACACCAAACACCGCCAATAAGTCGCCAGTATAAAATTCAGGGACACATTTTGTCTGCTGCAGCACAGTAGTGTTTTCAGATGGAGAGAGACATAATGAGAATGGACATGTGTCTTGGTTGACCTTGTCTTTCATACCCATGACAGTATAAGCTTTGTTTAGTAAGAAATACTTATTGAACTCACTGTGACACCACCATAGTTGTTGATTAATGTAAATCTATCTTCAGTAAATCCCAGAGTGTGAACAAAGTAAATTTTGTGCCAGTCATAAACCAAAACTAATTACAGACAATGAGGGTTGCATCAGTGCAGTCTTACCTTACATAAAACCAAAGAAAAATGCAGCTGCAAATCTCACAAATATGATTACTATATCAACATAGGATTCAAGAACATTATATATTTGGACTTATTTGATTTATTTGCACTAGTGCAGATCTCTGTGATATTTCTGTAGTACATTAACCATAACTCATTATTACAGCTCATGTTTCATTTCTGATACGGTACATTTAAAGGGTAAAGTGGACTAGATTTGATTGTTAATCGTAAAATTTCCTGGAGCAATTTATCACACTTCAAAATGTGTTACTGTCACAGGCCTATGCAAATGTAAATCACACAATGCATATAATCTGCTGCTGTTTCCACCCCTGAAGTAAAAACTAAAACATAAATGATTTGTTTACCACTAGCTGTGCAATTTGGAAAACTGCTACTTTGGTATTTTTCTAGTGCTGTGCAAAGTGCTCAAATTCAGTCACTCCTGTTCATTGTCTTAAAGTCACAACCTGCTGTTTTCCTGGTTTTACTGTTCATTAAAGTGCCACACAGAGTTGTCTTTATGTGGCAAACACAACTGCTCCTGCAGCACTTACACACTGTACAGTAACAGCCCACTTCACAGTCCATAATTTAGCAGCAGGGGACAATGAGCTAATCTAGCAGAAAATCTTATAATGAGCTATTCTTGCAGGATTTACCCCAATTTAAAATCAATGTAAAAGCAATAGACTTTTTATTTGAGCTGTAAATAAAGCCAGAGCAGTGTGTAGAAGGCCATTCTGATGGATTCACCCTTCACGTTGCATTTTGGGTTCTAACACATTTGGACACAGCTCTAAATATTTTTTCTGCTACTGCAATAAATTGGGTATAATTATGCCACAGGATGATTTGTAATTTATTATGGAAATGACTTAAAAGCAATCATTAGCAGATGCATGGTTTATTATGTTAAAGAAAACAAGTGGGACATGCACTATAGGAAAAGTTATGGTGTTATTATTTGTAACCCAATTATCTTATCCCACTGAACAAAACACTTCACTGTGGTTTGTGTCTGGATTTCTCTAGTCCCTATAGTCAGGGGGACTTACTTATGCGTTTAATCTTTCCTGCTTTCTCTCTCTCTTTCTTCTCTACAAATTAATTTATGGTCTAATTACAGGACAAGCCTCCAGATATGAAGGAACACAAATCACTGGTCCTTAGCAGATGGCAGAAAAACGGCACTGGATAATTGAAAATCTTGAAGTGGATCAATATTTAGAAGCCCAAGGTTACAAGAAGTGTGACATTACTATTAACATAGAGGTATGATGCATTACATACACAGGCAGAATGACTTCTTATTTGAATATAAATGACTGTAGTATCCAAGTGTTTGCTTCCCAGTGAAAGAAAGATGCAGACATTTTTACATGGAGTCCCACAGCTGCATACCTCCAGTCATATGTATCCATTTACACGCATGCACATAGTGAGTAAAATATGTGGAGACCCTGAATGTACCATGAAGTCTCAACATGCCATCTTGGTCCACCCCAGTTCTACCATGTCCCCCAAAGCACCCTCATAGCAGTTACCTCTGGCCTGTTAAAAATGATATCAGCACATGGAGGGTGAACATTAGCATTTGCATTTTATTGGAAGTGGCGAGATTTAGAGCGAAGGGTATATCAGCTCTGAGCAGACAGAATTAGTTAACAATGCATTACCTGCCTTTTATGGCAGCTATAACTCTCAGCGCTGGTGGGGAGAGGAGATGAAGGCAGGAGGAAGGAGGGGCACACAGAGGTTGGTGCTGCAAGCTGTGACATAGTGGAGGGGGCATTCAGAAAGCGAAAAGCTTTGTCTGTGGAGCTTTACTGCACATTAACATGATAGTATACTCCTGAAATTTGAGCATCACATTGCAATCATCTTCAAACACATGAGTGCGCAGTGCTAAGCAATGCTGTGGCCATCACTAAAGACCTTTATATATGAAACAGAGCCCCAGCTGCTGGGCAGCTGTGCCGCATGATCACAGGCCACATTGTGTTATCAGTCCCCCAATTCCTTTTATCTCACATATTTAATGCTCTTTTAACCAGGTGTTCATAATCTGTATGCTTACACCTAATGTGTTTGGTGGTCTGGTCTGTATCATTGAACTTGTCAAGCTCCAATACAGCAGTGTTTTTTTATGCTTGCTCTACACAGCTGCACAGTAGCTCCCTTGACACTCATCTATTGTAATGTGCAGCAAGATGACCCAACCTCTGCCACAGGCAATACCCCATGGAACTCATCTACTCTAGAACTTGGATAATCAGGAGTGCATCTAAAGGTGGTGAGGGAAAAATTATGAATAAAAAACATGATCTGAATCATGTATTTATTATAACTCAGCAACGCATTCTCCGCACCCTTAAAATCAAATTTAAAAGCCAAATTGTGCAAATATAGAAGGTATAACAAACATTGCAATATGATACAGACCATAAATGTTCTAACTCTTATTAGAGGATTATCTTAGTCAAACCTGGTGAAATACAACAATCCATTAACTCATCTACTTAATTAGATTAATTAATTGAGCACATTTTCTAAACAAGGCTGTTTTCAAAGTTCTGCAGTTAATGAAGCAGGAAAAGTAAATCGGCCGTCCACTTAACCAAAAAAGAACAAAAAGTTAGGAATAACCTCTTTGCACTAATGCATTTGCATATGTAGGCTCCAGAGTACCAGCACAGCTCCCTGAACCAAACCTACACTAGCCTGGGCCCCAAACACCATTGTAGCCCGCAACCTACTGCCTTTACCCAGCTTAATGGTCCCAGGGGTTGGAAATTTACTAGTGACCTTTGCACCAGTTAGTGTGAAAAAACTTGCTTGGAAAATTCCACCATTGGGATGTGGGTAGCAAAATGTGGTCTTATGATAATAATCATATGGTGTGTAATTGTTGAAATCAATGTTTCCAATTTTAAAAATACTTGATCTTGATATACGTCATCCGCGAAGTGCGATTCTACTACAGGTTCATGTTTTAGGGCAGTGGTTCTGGGCCCCCAAGGAGCCTCGCAGAGGGGTCCCAAAGGTTGTTCACAAAACAAGGATAAACACAAAACCAAGTTTGAAATGCATTACTTGATATTAAATGCAAAACTATATATTGGTTAACATGTAAATATAAGAAAAAACTAAACCGTTTTCTAATAAATGTTGTGTAAATTATTTAAACCTTTCAGTCTTTTCATCACAACGGTAGCCGACATAAAGTGACGTACATGAGTGAAATGACGCTGCGCTAAACCTGCACACGTATGTGCGCGGCGCTGCATTACATGCATATCAAACGGGCTAATGTGGCGCTATAGTAGTTATAACATGTAAACAATAAATTTGAGTTTAATTAAAAGCTTCTGCATACATAATCTACTACAGTGTAGAACATGTACAAAAGTATTTGGACACGTTCGGTTTGATCTGTGCAGTGGACTGTGGGATACCTCATAGCTTCTTACCCTGGTTAGGAACCTTTCAAGCTTATTATGCTAAAGGAGCCTTGAAAGGAAGCATAATTGCTCCTGTAATTGCTCCTTTTCCGTACTCCTTCCTAATCTCACTGATCAATTCGGATGGTCATTGTCATGGCGGTCAATGATGCACGTCCGGGTCAATGTTAAGGAAAGGAACTTTCCATGGAAGTATAAGTTCTTATTATAGATAAATGGAACTTCCTAAGCGCATTTAACCATTGCAGCCGCTATTTAAGGCAATGACTCTATTCAAAACCATGGACACTCAAGTGCGCCATCTGCCGGTAATGCTTCTTGATTTATGGATACACAGTCTGCGGTCTCACACAGGGGTATTTAGACATTTTCGATTCTACAAATATTTTAATTTGTTATACTGAGGAAGGCCTCTTAGCTAGAAAACTATGCTTTAGTTGACCTAAAAGCAGTAAAAAGCATAAATGTTTATTAAAAATGCTATACAGCATTGTACCTCTCGTTACACAAAAACTATAGAAAATCTGCCTGTGTAAATGGAAATTACAGGGGGTGTATAGACACACATGTACAAAAACGCAAATAACAGAGCCAGCTAGTTCTCAAAATGTATAGTGAACAAGCTGCACATGTTGTCCACAGTACACGTAAAGCTCCCAAGTACAAAATGAGGCTAAATGTAAGACCTAAGAAAACAACAATCTATTTAGTCTCATCTGAAAAAATCTGCATTGATTTTCATGGTTGAGTATTTGACCCTTTTTAAAACTAACCTAGTAACCATTAAAAAATATTATTCACAGTGTGTTATATTTCCAGCCACAAGGGGGCAGAGAAAAACTGCAGGAGGACGCTGATCTTCATAAACACCAATATATACGGTGGTTTGAAAAAAATTGGAACAACCCAAATGTACAAAAGAGGGCATGTACTTTACTGAACTATTGATATAAAGAATTTTAAAAACATTACATTAACATCCATGTTCAAACTTAAAAATTGCCATTACTACATTTACTCAAATGTTTGGCCAGTGTTTGCTGCATAATTAAAAAGGTAATTTACTGAGAGATCTAAAAATGAAGTTAAAAGGTACTAAAGGTACTAAAGCATGATACAACGATAGTAAAAAAATAAAATACAGAACTTGCACTCCACCCCAACAGCTCATCACCCATGTCCAGATCTCCTTTTACAATGGACGTAGTTTAGGGTCTGTGTGCTCCCAAGAGAACGACATGGACGACTGTTCTGTGTTCAGTCTTTGTAGAACGATGAAGAAAACACACAGTAGGATTTTAAGTGTGAAAATGTCTGACTTAAAGCTGGAGTCTAGAGGTCTTCTCATGCACTCACAGCCTCCTTCTCTTTCTTGTCCCCATCTTCATGCCAAGTTAGGCGCTCCTCGTAGAATGCTATGACAATCTGCGGGCATCTGTGGTTGGCATCCTTTGCAAGCACAAGATCGGCTTCGTCAGAGTCTTTCCTGAAAGGTTTAATGGACAAGTATGCAGAAGAATTAACAGCAAGTAAATACATGGAACTGGAGTAAATAAAAGGATACATTTGTTTTTTATTTCTTTGCATTTTCATTTGAGAAAATCAGGATTAAAAAAAAACAAAAAGGAGCAGCATTTAGTCCTATTTGTAGCCCTTAAAAAGCACCAGGAGAGGTGGTTTTATGCTTAAAATTTTGAATACTTCTCAGTGTTATAAAATAAAATTATCCCTCAATACGCATGGTAAACTACATAAGTTTTAGATACTAGATACATTTGTGAATAGTGGGTTAACTAAACAGTGCACGACCAGCCAAGAGTCATCACCTAGTAGAGGTCACGAAACTTTTTCTCTGGGGGCACTTTAACGCTCCTGACTGTGGCTTAATTTTGATGACCCCTTAGAGCTTAGACTGACAGGTGAATTAACCAGAATCTGCCTGCATAAATACCTGGCTTCTTACAAGGAAGAGAAAAACACTACAGATCTGAAACAATGTGGACTTCTGACTAATCCATGAGCAAAAGATTAAACACACTTAATCTGATGTCCTAATTTGTATCTATATTTGCATAAAAGTATTGACACATTTGCACCAAGCAAGTATTGATATTCACATCCCTATTGCATACCTTCTCTTAATAATATCAATGCAGTTTTTTTGTGCATAAATACTAACGACTGGGGGCAAAGTGAAAACAATTATGAACATGCAGATGTTAAAAACACATTAAATATTATTTTGCATATATCCCCGTTTGGATCAATACATTTTGTCCAATGTCAAAAATAAACAATGCAACAATGTTTAACCGCTAACTGCTAAAATTACGCTTGGCACAAGACAGCATGGGGACCCCTGAGGGTACACTTGCCAGGCCAGAGGATAATTGGAATGATTTCAGATTTAAGAAAGGTGGAATTGAGGATTTAAAATACAAAGTAAGTCCTATTGTTTACATTACATCTTTAAGATTCTGTAGGATCAATCTGGCATACTCATCAAGACATTAAAATAAGTCAATGTAAAAGTTATAGCTAAAGTGAAGTGAAGTGTATCAAGCAAATGTGCAGGAGACAAATTGCTGCATAGCTTTCAAAGCACCACGCTGTCAGAGCTGCTCTGAAAGTGCCTAGTCTTGAGGCCTTGTCTGTTGATATAATGTTTGTGATATTTGCACTAAGATGTGCAACAGTTGCATGAGTGGCAGAGGGAGGATGGGAAAAGGTCTTTCTGTATGGCATTCACTTCAGGATTTCCAACATAGAAACACCAACCAAAAGCAACATGTTTTCATGTAATGCATCAAGAGCCATAGACACAGCACAAGCTGATTTCTGGAAATAGTTTCCCCTTTAAATTTTTTTACAATAAACCAAACATCTAAACGTGTTATTTGTGACATACTACCTCGGCAATAAGAGATAAGTGGGTGGTGGAATTTGTAATGTAATTGTTGTATAGACCAACAGTTTTACAGTTGCCCAGGGAGATTTCGTAATCAGAAATAAATACTTTAGTAGTATTTGGACCATACTGTATATATAAAAATGGACATAGCTAACATACAGGAGGCACTTCCAGCTCATACTGACCCTGGCTCCCATTGACCAACATTGGAATATGTCGCCCCTCTCGTCATTTTGGTCCTAAAATGTTTGTAGTAACCCACTCTACATGATCCTGGGTTTTTTATTTTTGCTAGTTTTCCTATTCCTAATATGGAGCCCAGCCCCAAATTCGACCCTGTAACCATAAACATCACAGGTTTCATGCCAAATACTATGGGTGCCGTCACACCCGCTTAGTCCATTTCTTTATACAGTCTATTTGAAAATGTGTACACAAGCAATTTAAATTTTAAATACATTATGGAAGGGGATTCTAAAAAATAAACACAGAAGAAGTATTTGTATGTTTACATCTGTATCTGAATGATACCTGGTTTTCACAACCAGTACTGAAACCACACTTTTTTGGGGGGTATTTTATTGTTTAGAACTACATTAGTACCAGTCTAAATCTGTTGATAGAAAATTCACTGTACTTCAGATTGCCATCTCCATATTGAGTACAGAAACTTACCACTTCATTAGAAACATTAGGTCTCCACACGAATCAGTTGCTCCTATTATCTTCTCTGGCTCAAGTCCTCTCTCAAAGCCACGTGCTACCAACACATCTTCCTGAAACAAAAGAGAATCCATAATGAAATTAAGACATTAACACTTCCACAATGCCAACAGTATCATTATAATTAGCGATGCTCACCTCCTTTTTCTTTTTTGGTTTGCTACCTCCCTCCTCATCGTCATCTGAGCCCTTCCTTTTTGAGCTACTTGACTCTTTGGAGCGCCCCACTGAGCTGGTTTTGCTGCCCCCACTGCTCGGTGTAGATCCTCCACTGCTACCTTTCTTATAAGTCTTCATAAACTCTGTAATGAGCTCTGGACAGTCAAGGTTTTTTTCTGGCTCCCAGGTGTTGTGTTTACTGAAAGGATAAAAAATAATAAAAGATAATTCTGTATGTAACTGTATAATACACATTATTTGTATTAATTATGTAGACATATAAGGTGGAAATGTATGGTTAAAATTTCACTGCTCTTTTTGTCTACTTTTCATTTAATTTTGGCTAATGTCTCCATGGACATCTTGACTATGCTTACACACTCCCTCCATCAATAACAAAAGTAATTTTGATGTAATTGTTTGGAGTCTGTACATAACACTGTTTTGGATTGTTCAGTACTAGATAAAGCATTTGTTTTTGAGGAAACAATGCAGAGAAAAAAATTCACGTGTAAAACTTACTCAGAGTATCCCTTCCACTTCAGGAAGAACTCGACCCGTCCTCCTTTGCCCACCCTCCTGTCCAGGACCTTCTCTACCACATACTCCTCCTCATCAGAAGACGACTCTTCGTCACGAGTCTTTTTACCCATGTTAAAGGAGGAACCTGGACCACTACATTGCACAAAATAAAACACAAACCAAAGCTCAAAGATGTCCAAATTACAAAATCAAAAAGTCAGCATAAAACACTGTAGCGTAAAAACGGAAAACTCCAGGAGTGTGTTGGATAATACCAAAAGCAGAAAAATAACGTCAACTCAATGTGTGGGTATGTAACCTGGGTAGTGTTAAAACACAGAAGAGGCTCGAAGAGCGAAGCTAGCCCTGAAGCTAACAATGGTGTTCTATTTGGTTTGGCGAACCAAAGAGATTCTTCGCAGAAATCAACATGCATCTCCACAAACGATATAAGGCAATACAAAATAAATACCTTTAATTGCGTGTTTGCACAGAAGCCAGTGGTTTGATTGAAGAGGTTATGCCTGTTGCTTGTTGTGTTGCTCTGCGGGCCAAAGCTTGAGCTAACTTAGCATTAAGCTAACCCACAAAGAAGACCGTGCGTAAAAAAGCGCGCGTTACAGACGCACAATAAATGAGCCCGCCCCTTGGTCAGCTGACTAACACTGAAAAAACCCTGGCTTTGGGACATAGAGCCATGTTTTGGGATGAAGAATGAAGAAAAGTGCAGTATCTACCAGTCTATGGAATCTACAAATGTTTGCGGTAGTAAGCAATAAAGCGACTATTCTCGAGATAGACCCCATAACAAAGGAAAATAATCGCAGAATTAGCCGTGTGATTGTATCACGTATCAATAATGTGTATTATACACTCAAGCCGTAGTTTGGTCGTTAACGTTAAACGAAAAATATTGCTCATATTGGTTATTGCACTTAGAAAAGTACTAATTTTGTACAATTATAGTCAGACAGTTGCATAAAATAACCCCCACTGCACTCCCTTTGTCTAACGTAGCAGCACGCCCACTAAGGCAGATTGGTCCACAGAAGAGATTGACTGCCGTTTGACCCAATTGAAACTCTGAAAGCAATGACACTCACTGCAGCGGGAAGTACTGACCAATTGTCAGAAAGAAGGTGTGTCCTCCTTGGTACTTAGCCTAGTCTGGAAAACCGGTTTATGCTCGGCTGACGCACATCGCCTCTCCCTGTTCGTCCAAGGAGTCACCCAGGTTCAAGCATGTCTAAGGACGTAAGTTAACGATTTAGGACAATATGAACGATTGTTATTGTTTTGCATGGTATTTACAAAATACGTTTAATTACGAGTAGTACGAATTATCGGAGCTTTGGCGGAGGATTGGCGCAGCAAAGAAGCCTGCACAATCCGCCATTTTGTAAAAGCTGGGCCTCATGGCCTTTGTTCATGCAGCTCTAAATAAACCCAAAATCCCGTTTTGGATCGCTCGTTTTGTAAATACAATTTTGCATTCTTATTATTCGCAGATAAATCTTGAATGAGTAGGTCGAGTTTTATTTCAAAGTAAAATGTAATCGCTTAACTGTTGGTGCCGTCGGTAATGGCGGTCGTGTCTGCCTTGCTACTCGCCTTTTTGTGACGCAGTTTGAATACATTTCAGCGCCCTTTTAACATTAATTTGCGTCAAGGGTTAAATGAATTGGGATTTGTAAAGGTATAACCCAACCGTCTGCGTTCTACCACTGCAAAAATGACCAACCACATTTGCTTTAATCATTCTTCAGGTCCCACGTGAGCCAGAGCAGCTCCGCAAGCTGTTCATTGGGGGGTTGAGCTTTGAGACTACAGACGAAAGCCTGAGAGCTCATTTTGAACAATGGGGCACCCTAACTGATTGTGTGGTATGTATATTTCTCTCGTGCTATTTTTAAAATCATACAACCGGAGTCTTACTTTTTTCTGTATTTAAGGTTATGAGGGATTCCAATTCCAAAAGGTCCCGAGGATTTGGCTTTGTGACCTACTCTTCAGTGCAGGAGGTCGATGATGCTATGGCTGCACGCCCACACAAGGTGGATGGCAGGGTAGTTGAACCCAAGCGTGCAGTTTCCAGAGAGGTATGTTAAAGCAGTTGTCTAAAAGTTTATTTTTAATCCGTGGTTATCTGTAATTAACATTAACATGTTAGTGCAACATCTTAATGAAATTGCTCAAGGCAGAAAATTCCATAAATTTGATTAGAGCCTTCATGCAGCATTTCTTGATCCTTTCATTTTAATTTTATTGAAATAGTTTTATGATTTTTAAAATCTGACTTGTATCTCCCTCCTTCAGGACTCCAACCGGCCCGGTGCTCACATTACAGTGAAAAAGATCTTTGTTGGTGGAATCAAGGAAGATACAGAGGAGCATCATTTGCGTGACTACTTTTCCCAGTTTGGAAAGATTGAGGTTATTGACATTATGACTGACCGCTCTACTGGAAAGAAAAGGGGATTTGCCTTTGTGACTTTTGATGATCATGATGCAGTTGACAGGATTGTCAGTAAGTATAATTGGGAGTGTGTTTATTTTGCTCTAGGCAGTATTTTAATTGGATTTGCAATGTCTTCACAGTCCAGAAATACCACACCATTAACTCTCACAACTGTGAAGTCAGGAAAGCGCTTACAAAACAGGAAATGCACAATGTTGGAATGGGAATGAGGTCAGGCCGTAACAGCGGTGGCGGTGGCGGCGGCGGAAGGCCTTACGACTATGACAGAGGTTTCAACCAGGGTAGGTTTGGTCTCCCAGAGTATTGACCTGCTGAATTACAGCTGCCTAATCGATCCTTTTAATTGCAGGTGGAAGAGGGGGCAGATATAATGATGGTCCATATAACTGCAATGATGGTGGGTGTTTTAAAATAGTTGTGCTATTTTTTTTTTTTTTTTTTGTGGCTTCTTGACTTAAAACTTCTATTTTTAAGGTTATGGTGGTGGACCTGGTGGATACAATAATGGGGGCAACCGGGGCTACAACCAAGGCTACAATCAAGGAGGCGGAGGCGGTGGCGGCGGCGGTGGTGGTGGTTATGGGAATGGCTATGACAGCAATGGCTATGGTATGTATAGGAAGGTTGTCTCCATTTTTTTTAATAATGTGGCTGAAAAGTTCAAACCTCTCTTGACAGGTAACTGCGGCGGAGGTGGCGGTGGAAACAACTATAACAACATGGGTCACTATGAGCCCCAGCCCTCTAACTTTGGCCCAATGAAGAACAACTTTGGTGGTGGTGGAGGTGGCAGGAACTTTGGTGGTGTGTATCTAGTGGACTTTATCTGCCAGCTGCTCTTAATGATCTAACTTTATATTGAGTGTGCACTATTTCTCTCCAGGATATGGCGGTGGTAACAATGGTGGTGGCGGCGGCGGCGGCGGAGCATATGGACGCCCTGGACGGTTTTGAAATTGGTAAGCCTTTAAATAGACAATCTTAAGTCTAGTGTCGATGTCTAGGGATTCGTAAAGTGCAACAATTCTCTGGATGTCAGGCCATACAAAGTCAGTGCTCAGTTAACAATGTTGTTCCATATTGTTCAACAGGACTCAGTACTTAGGAGAGGAGAGCAAGGAGAGGAAGCGAGTGACAGGGCAGCTGCAGGTTTACCTCAAATCTGCTCAGCCAAACAGTTGTGGCAGGTTACAGCTGCTGCAAGAAGATGTACAGTAGATAAATCATGAAGGGGTGTTCATTTAAACATTTGTGTTTCTGGAAAGCAAGCATTCCAATGAGGTTTTATGTAGATTATTTTCCTTTTAAGTCTGGTTTTATTTGTATCTGCACCCAATCAAGTTGAAATAAAACTTTTGAGTTTTTTTTTTTTAAGTGTTGTTAGCCTTATTGGGAAAGAGGGTTTGTTAATTGGGAACGTTCATTCCCACCATGTGAGGTATAATCTACATGTGAAGGCCTGCAATAGAGCTGCAATGCATCATTGTTGAGGATCAAGTGGTGCACAAAGCAACTCTTCATTGAGGGCCAGCTCAACAGACCACACCTTCAGTTTTGGAGTGATCATCTGGAGGAGGCTAGCTTACATGCAGTCTGAGGCTAGCCATGGAAACCAGCTGAGGGAGAGAAGTAGACCACCACCAGGATCATTGAAGCAGGGGAGAGTGAGAACTTGAGCCTGAGGCTAGCAAGCAGAAGCTGCAAAAGGGCTTAATGCTGTTTGTAGGTAAGACCAGACTTCTCAACTATGATAGTGTAACTTTACTCAATGTAGCCTGTCAAAATAACTTGTACAGTTAATAACTTGGACCATTGGTAAATGTATTATGGTATATTTTGTGCATGCTGCCTTTGCTTATAATAACACCAGTATCTGCTGTTCAGGCACCTTCTATGGGACCAAGAAAATACTTTGCTGACAGACTACAGATTACTTGCCTTCCAGTGATTATGATCTACAGGTAAGGTGCAGAATAGAGGCTTGACCATTACATGCCATTAAGACTTAATTCTAATCTTAATTCATTCTTACAGGTTTGCAGGACAGTGCTCTGACAGAAGACTGTGGACACCCCTCTTTCAATTTTGTTTTAAAAAATTTTTTATATACTTTTATACAAAACGTTTTTAATAAAGACAAAGTGTTTATCCACAACCTCTTTAGTGCAAAGCTCACACCAACACCACTGCAAAATACATTAATCATTTCTGCGTCTCACTAAGTGGTACTAAATAAACTTTGCCCTCTGGGCTTTGCTGTAGAGAATACTCATTAATGGAATATGGTTGTCCATCTTCGTCTCTCAAGTATGTAAAGACCTCAGTATAGAGTTCAGAGAGGCGACATTTGATGAAGGCAAGACTTTGTTGAAATTCAAGTCGTTCTTGAGCTAGATGCTGTCTTTGAGCCTGAAGTTGGTTGAGTTCTTGTTCCAATTGAATAATGCTTTCAAGCTTCCTTTTTCTGCAATTCTGAGCTGCAACTTTGTTTTTGCCTCTCCGCCGAATGTCTCTCACTAATGCTAGTTGAGTATCAGTGAGGGTATACTGGGACAGTAGCTCGTTGAAATCGTCCACAGGTAGATTAATAATTTTCTCCATGGGAAAAGGGATTTTTAAAGCCAAGGCCCGTCGCTCATCCCTACTCATCGGCGCATGCGCTAAGTTGTTCCGCTGCTTGTTATACACGGCTTGTTGTGAGCTCCCTCTACTGGACACGCCGTAGTTATTATAAAGCTCAGACTGGCCATTCAATTGGGCATGTAGTTTCACTGCCCGAGGAGCTGGACCACTGGAAGGTGGGTAAGACAATGTCTGAATTGAAAAATATTGTTCTGGGTGTATATATGAGTTTGTATTGTCTTGATAGGCAAATGAGTAAAAGGACGCATTTCTCTGCCCTTCAGATTGTCTTTCATAATGGCAATCTTTAATATCTATCTGGTAACCAGCTGTCCCACTGCTCACCTCTGGAGAGGCCAGAGGAGGACTGGAACCTAAAGAGAGGCCCGAGTCAGACTCCAGGTCATTGGTCAGGCAACCATGTGAAGTCTGTCCTTGTGTCCATAGCACGTGTCTGTAAAGGCTCTGGGTGCTGTCCCTCCACTGGCCACGACCCTCCCCCGATGAGGCAGGTGGGTCTCTCAAAGCCAAGAGAGAGAGAGAAGATTCTGATGGTACTTTCTGATTAGCTTGTGACTCAGAGTGTCTGTACTGTGATTGGGTGCTGCTGTGTTGATGATGCACAGGCACTTCCTCAGAGTAGCACCCATCATAATTATTGGAACTGATCTCACAGGATCCAGGAGGCAGCTCTGCAGCAATTCCATAAGGTTCAATGGGTGCCATGGTCTGGTACTGTGTTGTTTCAAAGGTACTTTCACCAGGGGCTTCAAACTCCTAGAATGAAAGTATACATTAATATATACAAACACACAAAACAGTAGGCTAATGCATGCACCATAAAGGGCACTGAGTCACAAGCAGAGGCTAATTAATTGCACCTGTGTTTGCAGAGCATTATTTGTCCGGCAATTCTCCCTGCCACCATATGAAGGGCTCTCATAAGTGTGATCAAGTTTCTCTGGGAAACAGATGGCTATTGTGCCAGGCAGGGGGCTCCTACTTTTCCCCAGTCTCTCTATTCATTATCTTTCCCATGTTTCTTTGTAATATTAGGCCTAATCAAGTTTTTTATTTTTTTGTTTTTTTACACAGACATTAAAACATTTTTACATTAAGGATAATCTAAAAAGGAGATTGTGGTTTGTGTCTCAAAATTTAGGCCCACCTGTAGTTCTGTAATGGCCATGAGCTCCTGCCAAGCAGCGTCCATCTCACTCTCCTGCAAAGCTCCATGAGGTTTTGGTCCTGCTCCACAGAGCCGGCCAGGAGCTGCTGATGATACCTTTTTTCAAAATACATTTATTACTTGACTGTTGACAGAAGTGGGTGTGTATAGATATAGAATTAACAAATTAACATACCTCGCTGCTTCTCCTCAGAGGGAGGGCATAACTGGCTGGAGAACACATCCAGAAGATAAAGGGTATAAACCTAAAATAGATATTTTTTTCAACAATTTCATTTGAAAGAACACTGTTCTTGCTGTTGTTGTTGCTGAATCTCCATACACTTGCCTCTATTGTCTTTGCTAGGCAATACTGCTCTCGCCTTCTCTAAAACCAATTTGGACACATGAGGTCTTTGGTTCAATTGAGTTGACTCCTCCCATCAGCTGTCCCGACAGCAGCTATGCCATCCCTTGATAAGACAATCTGCGGGAAAACAGAGTTTTGTTTTTTTTTCTTTTGAGACCTGGGACCTGGTCATTGCAAAAACATGTTTGATGTTGGCTTATTTACCCAATACTCGTTTACAATGTAATGTACAATGTGCTTGTGAAAATGTGACCCTGAATATTTGTCAGTACAAAGATAAATGGAATATACTTGAATACTAGAATAAAAGTTTAGGTATGCATGGGACTGACGCATGAGACTGGCAAAAAACAAAAACAAAAAAAAAAAAAAAAAACTGCTTGTCCAGTTTGCCATTGCATATCAAACTTCAACTCATCAGTATCAGTGAACAGTGCTAGCCTTGACTCAAACCATCAGCACATTCATTAACCAATCATTTTATTAACTAATCAGGGACATGAATAAAAGTAAGTCTGGAAGAACAGGCTAATAGCTGTCATTTATATAGTTCTATAGTATCTAAAAAGCATTCACTTACCTCAGTAGCCTTTGATCTTTTCCAAAATGTGCCACTTATCAAACACAATTCTGGTGGCACCAAAAAACTCCTGAAAAATTAAGTGCATGTCACTGTCTCTGGTGAGTAAAAGGTTTCCAGGCCTCCGTCTCACTCACTCTTGGCCCGTCTGTCTGTATGTGGCTGCACTTCACTTGAGGCACCGGCATAAATGGGATGGCCCAGTGCAGACAACCTTCCTGTAAGGCACCCACACCACAGCTTTTTGCACTCATGTGTCCTTAATAGTATGCTAGCACACCCCAACCTCCAAATTTCCCCTTTTGCCCACTTGACAAACCACAAACCAACAGTCTGGCATATATGTCTAAAGCAATCTTCACGTAGGATGTTCACACTCAAGAGCAATTTTTTTTTTTTATAAACTTGTGAATGTTCTATATACTATAAGAGTGAAATGTATAGCAACAAATTTAAACAATGTCCTTTTTCATATTATCCTCTAAAAGTATGTGAAATTGCACCTGCAGATATAGCCAGTGATGCAGTAGTGGATTGGAAGTCAGATTGATACTGAGTTTAGTACAGATGGAATGTACACCCAGCAACAGGTAAGAAAGACTACATTGTTCGTCTACCTGGCAGAGCAACCGCCTGGGAGAGTAAGGAGCTGGGGGAGAATGGAGAGAAGCGTGTCTTACATAGCCTGTGACCATTAAAATCCCTACAGAAAAATTCCCCCTTTGCCCTGATCCGAGGCACCGTTTGCCGAGAAACTCTGCAAGACTGCATGTTAGGCACAGTTTGCATCTGTGACTGATGCTGCAGGTTAAAAGGTTCAAACAAACATCAATATTTCTTGTTTGGATGGATGAACAGATGTTTTTGGACCTTTAAGTGAGCAAACATTTGAATCAATTTATCCAGAATCAACATATATCTCTGCAATGTACAGTACAATAAATTATGCAAGAAATAGGCAAATTAATGTTCTTAAAGATAATGCAAAAACTGTACATAATGTAGTATTCACCATTCCTCATGGAACAATCTACCTTAATGATCACAAAATATACAATATATGATTTCTGCTGTCCACCATCATTCATTGCATTGAAGTAATGGTTTTGACTATAGTAAGGCCTATAGGCTAAACGAGGCTAAAAATAGCCTACAGTAGGTAGGCTATAATGCATAAAACACTGAAAATGATGTGCAGACTAGCATCCATTTTAAGTTAACAGAAAATGTGATGAACAATATTTTGTTTTTAGGCAGAAATTTAGACAGAAATGTCTAAACCATAAGTAACCCCACCTCTATAATTTATCTGAGCCTGCTACAATCACAATGTTTTCTACACCATTGTTCTCTGATGAGACGTAGGTGGCTGACAAAGCCAAGAAAGGTGAATGTCTACCAGGAATCAAAGCAGGGACTTCCCAAGCCATGTTCCTAGCACCCAGCCCCTGACTCAACCGCTGCTTGTACACGCTGTCGACAGGCCTGTTATTACAGAGACCGCTGTGGCTTGAAGCTGGACACACTTCCCAGGTCAACGCCCACACACACTCTGCATGTTTGTTTGCATCAATTAAATGCTGACTTCTTTCCCGCCATGTCTGAACCTCGACTTGTACACTTCAACATGTAAAGGAATGTCTCTTCAGAAAGCAGATCAGCTGACTCCCAGGGTAGAATTCTCTTAATGTGCAGTGATATATAATGAAATTGTAAATATTTCTAAGTTGTTTTTGTTTTGTTTTGTTCTATTTTTGTGTCTTGGGGTTTCCATATCATTTGTTACATGAGAAGTATTGCATTGTAAGTTATATTGGAAAGTTGTTTCAAACATGAGAGGGAAAAAAGTGTTGTGGTTTGGGTTGTGGTATGAAACAGGGAACATTTTTAGTCTGATTCTGGGAAAGTAAATAAAATTGGGGGAAAATAGTGTACGCCTTTTTTCAATGTGTTTTGTGTCAGCACTTGTTAAAATAATAATATAGTTTTAATTAAACTATTTAAAATTTCAATTTAAAAGTGACTTTATTTGCATCGCAATTTTTGAGCTAATGTGTCCAAGCAAGTTACTGTAAGAAAATAGGCCTACCTCAAAAGAGATTTCAAAGAAATTTTAAGGAACCTAACATGCAGCATCATTGTCATGCATTACTCAGGAAACCTCAAACGTTACCTGAAGATGACCACCAAAGATAGTTTAGTAGTTTACATTTTTGTTGTCTTTAGTATAAATGATTGTTAATTGTTAATAATAGTTTGTGTTGTGAGGTGTGTAAAAAAAATAAAATAAAATAAAAATCACACACAAGAGAAAGATTATATGTTAAGGTAACTGTTGACAAGTACAATGACATCATTTTTACTGTGTTGTCATTACAGTTAGACTACAATGTTTTAACCAAAAAGTGTAAAGGAGGATGTTGGTTGGCGGAAGCTCTGCTTTATGCTGATAAAATTGTGACTTGGTTCTACGGAAGGGAACTTCTAACTGCTGTGGTTGGTTGTGTATGTGTACTGAGTGAAAGAGCAGACACTACAAAGCATATTACCAAATTCTATTAGAACGTATTCTTTGCGGGTTGTTTCAAAATGATAAAACACTCATCTGTATGGATATCTTTGTTGAATGCTTGTATATGAAACCAACCTGTGTCCAACCACGCACACTGTAAGACTTGTAAAGTTTTTAGGACTATATGAACATTGATATTCATCCACATTTGTAACAAAGCTATAACAAACAGTGATGTCATTTATGGAGGAAGATAGAGGGAAATCCCCATCATCCAGGGTTTCCAAGTGCTTCCCAGAAGAAGGTCCTGACATAATTAGAGTTGGTTAAATGTCAGAGGATCCAGAAAAGGACATTATATACTGTAAAAAAAAAGAAAAAAAGTGTTCCTCACCTTCCACTGTGGTTGGTCTCTTTCACCCTCATCCAACTCATGCCCTCTACCACAAGCCTGGGAGCTTGAGAGTTCTGCGCAGTATCTTTGCTGTTTCAAGTCCTGGACTTTTCTGGACTGAGATGTCTGATGTTTTGGGGGGTTACAGTTGCATGTGCTCTGATGACCATGGGCACCACTGATGCCTTCACCTTCCAGGCCTTCTCCAGCTCTTCCCTGAGCCCCTGGTATTTCTGTAGTTTCTTGTATTCCTTTTTCCTGATATTACCATCTTGGTATTGCAACGTCCACCACCATGACTTTGTTCTGTTGCTTATTCACCATCACTACATCTGGCTGATTCACCATCTTTACCTGAAAATTCCACATGATTTTGGCTTGGTCGTTCTCCACATCTTTGGAGGTGTTTTCTACCTTGACCTTGGGGTCTCCAGCCAGTACTCTGACAGATGTTTCTGTACACTGTGCCCGCCACTTGGTTATGTTGCTCCATGTATGTTTTTCTTGCAGCATCTTACACCCTGCAGTTATGTGCTGGACTGGTTCAGGAGCCTCTCTGCACAGCCTACACCTTGGGTATTGACTGATATGGTAGATCTGGGCCTCTATTGCTGGAGTGCTCAAGTCCTGCTCCTGTGCAGCCAGAATGAGTGCCTCTGTGCTGCCCTTCAGACCAGTCCTCTCAAGCCATTGGATTTCTTGATATCAGCCACTTCAGTTATGTTTTGGTGGTAAGCCCCTTATAGGGGCTTGTTCTGCCATGGTGGTCCCTCCAGCACCTCTTCCTTTGAACCCCACTGTCTAAGACATTCTCTGAGCACGTCATCTGTTGGGGGCCATGTTTCAACCTTGACAGTGGTTACAATACTCACTAGTTCTCGGCCTCTTTCCATCTGGCTCGCATAGAGTCTCAGGATGCTGGATTTTGGAACAGCTATGTATATACACACACAACATACCTTTTAGATTAGAAAACATTACAGTTTGCTTCAGCAAAACATGAAATTATGGATGGATGAAATTTTAGACCTATTTGTTGTATAGCCTCTCTATTATATCGTGCATCATTAAATGCTGCTTGTATTGTATTGGTTTTGTACTTTAATTTAGCTTGTTTCAAATTTATTTTATTTCTTTATTCTCTTTATTTATTTATTTATTATTTTTATTTATTTATTTATTTTATTATTTTTTTTTTTTTCAAATTTTCAATTCAAATATTCAACAGCGGTATAAATTGGAAATTTAACCAAAGATGAAAAAAAAAAAAAAAAAAACAACAACAACAACAAAAAAACTGTGATATGCGCATAATTTACAATTACCTTTTTTGTACGCCATACGTAAATGTGAACAGCCAATGAGAAGAAGCCTCTTTGAGTAGTAGAACTACGTGTTACGTGGTGGTGTATCGTTAGCCTGAATGCTAACTGAACCGCTAACACGTAGAAAGATGGATTCTCCTATACTGGTAATTTATAAAGTCTCTTTTGTGTAGTTTGTGGGATTTAATTCTTTAACACCGTTGTCGGCATACCTTTACATACACCAACCTACCAGAATAGAAAATAAACATGACTAAAAATATGTATTGTTTAGAGTTTGATAACAGCGCTAATAGCTAGCTGTAGCCTCTTATATGTGTAGACCTGCTGTACTCTGTGTAGGTGATGTGGAAGTTTCTTATTATTGGAGTGAACTAGTTTTGGCATTGCACGAGTTCCTGTGACACATGCCACCTATTTCTTCGTATTTATAGATATCTTTCAATTACTTTTGTTTATCTTCTATTTTTTTTCTCGAAGATATGATTTCATGGCTACAACGAGTATGCACAGAAATTCATAGTGTGGTGTGTTCACTTTTGGCAGGAACCTTCCCTATACACAGTCAAAGCGGTTCTTATTCTGGACAACGATGGAGACAGGCTCTATGCCAAGGTAAACATTTCGTATAATCCCTATGAATTTTGAAGTTAAATGATAATAATTACCATTTAATTTACTTGCAGTATTATGATGATACATATCCTACAGTCAAAGAGCAGAAAGCCTTTGAGAAGAACATATTTAACAAAACTCACCGGACAGACAGTAAGCATAAGGATTTAGACATAATTTATCAAAAGAAGAAGTCAAGTTATGAAGGGGGTTTAGCAAATGTAATACATTGATTGTTATTTGCTGCCCCTATAGGTGAAATTGCTCTGCTGGAGGGTTTGACCGTAGTTTACAAGAGTAACATCGATCTCTTCTTTTATGTGATTGGAAGTTCACATGAAAATGAGGTACAAAACATGTTTTGCATATATCCTGTACACTAACTTGTCAGTGTCTATGATCTAAAACTATGGTTTGATAAACTATAATTTATTCAGGAAATAATTATATATTTTTTATGATTCTGCTGGCATTTGCCTGTGTTTGATGTAAGCTCATTATTGATTTAATTTCCTTGCCACAGCTCATGCTTATGGCTGTTCTTAACTGTCTGTTTGATTCACTCAGCCAGATGCTGAGGTATGTGCCAGAATGTAGTATCTAATTATTCAATTACACATCATTCTTATTAACTTAACTGACATAATTTTACAGGAAAAATGTTGAAAGAAGGGCTTTGCTTGAAAACATGGAGGGCCTTTTTCTTGCTGTAGATGAAATAGTAGATGGAGGGTAAGTGTATAAAAATGTGATTATGTGTCAAACTGCATCACTATCAGTTCTTTCTATTGCTGTTATTCTTTACTGCCCCCTGCAGGGTGATTTTGGAGAGTGATCCTCAACAAGTTGTGCATCGCGTGGCCCTCAGAGTAATGCATTACTCTCCTCTTTTTTCAACATTAAACTGTGTACAAGTCATTAACATATTTGTTTCTTTAGGGAGATGACGTGCCTTTAACAGAGCAAACGGTCACCCAGGTGAGAAACCACCCTTCAGTTGATAAGCTCCATTAAGCTCCATTAGTTAATTAAACTATTGCTTTGTTCACAACATCAACTACATTTTCTCACTTTTTTTTCTTCTAGTGGCCAATTAATCATTGTACATTCTTGAAGTGTTTATACAATAATATATATATATGTATATATATATATGTATGTGTGTGTGTGTGTATGTGTGTGTATATATATATATATATATATATATATATATATATATATATATATATATATATATACTTGGCACATTTGGTATATATGACTTATAAAGTGTTTAAAAAGTTAGCTTAAAGTTAAATTTATAAAAATGTTGTAGCTATACTTTTGTTGAGGATTTTGTTTGGTTTCACAGGTACTCCAGTCAGCCAAGGAGCAAATTAAGTGGTCACTCCTTCGATAGAGTCATTCTGGGCTGTGATTGGTGAGCCTTGCTCGGTTTGTCTGCACTGATCCAGGTTTAGTTGTGAAGTCCCACTGGCTCCCACACTCCATGGACCACAGTTTTCATCGCTTTCACTTAAGTCTTCTATGACCTTTTTACACTGGTTTGTGTTATAAAACTAAAACATATGACATCATATGACATATGCTGGTCTTTTTATGAACAATATGCATGTTGATTAAGAACAATCGTAAACCTTGTAACACATGTAAGAACATTCCTAATGTATCTTTGAGAAGTATTGTCATTTTAGTGCCTCTTTCCTTTTGTTTTGACTACTGTACAAAATGCCAGCTCTATCCCACTAATGGTGGGAACTTAAGATGTTGAACATGTCGTCTTTTCACAGATCATTTAATTATTTTATGTTTATGGACATCATAATTGTAGAATTGTAAAATAAAAATGACATCTGCATATTCCATGTAGCTTTCAAGTCACAGCATTCCTGTTATATGAGTTCAGGTTTACACTACAGTTACTAGGCTATTCACATTAACAGTTCGTCAGACAGATTGTCAATCATGCATGGTTAGTGTTCCTTTCTCAACTGAACACACGGGGAGTCTAGTTGCCTGGCCTGCAAGTCCATCCTACATTCATGTTAAAGCCTGTGGTTTTAGCTGACCAGGCAAAGATTCCAGGTGGCTGTAAAGGGCTGTCAAGACATTGTGGCATACTAAAGTTGAATTCAGTCTCAAAAATATAGTGCTTTTACAGCCAGCACTAGTAGGATTGTATTCGTATACTTTGCATTGTTGCACATTGCTTAGAACTTCGCCTGGATTATGCTTCTCAACAGCTCTAAATACTGGGTGCATGGTGCCATCTAGTGGTGTAAGTGACTTAGTGAGAAAGTCAACAAACACAATAGTAGTGTTCAGTTATTCGTCTGCAGTCTGTCGCCCACTGTGAGCTGTGATGTGGAGATACGTTTTATGGACTCTGATTCATTTAAGTTGAAGCCACACTATGCAGTGTGAATTGTGTGCTTCTATGTGCAACCCCCCAAACCCCCCCCCCCCCCCCGCACTTGCTAACCTCAGCCACTCATTTCAATGCAAATAAAGAATAGCCCCTGGAGTGGATTAGTTTGACAACAGCCACTAGATCATGTTGATGCCTGATGCATCTCACTGGAAAAGAAATTATTTTTAGGATTTAGGAGCATACTTTATGTAAAAGCAAGACCGACACAAGCAACTTTGTGATTTGGTTTAACTTCATTAAAATGGATTTTCTTATTTGGCCACTGATGCAATATAAATTGTTAAGTTGGGTGTCAATTTAAGTAGTTGGAATGATTCACACACTGCTTATAGTGGTGCCATTACATTTTTTCATTGCTCATTCACTGGCAAATAATGGTAATGGTGATAATTGTAAATGGCACTGTTAACTTATATTAATCATATCTAACAACAAATTGCTCCAGAGATAATTGATATAGATGGAACCTATGCAGCTATTTAACATGCATTAGTAAACTACTTGGCCATTAAAATCAATAATTTAGGAAATGTCTATGTAAGTTATATAGAAAAAGAGCACAATGCATCTTTTAAATTAACCACATGCCTCAATATTGGCATATGGAAGAGAAAGGAGGGGTCTCGGTATAGGCAAATAATACCAAGGCAAACTGAAATTGTGCCAATATATTTTATACTAGTAATCATTGTAAATACAAGGGTGATCATTCAAAGGTGAAAGTTTAATTATATAAAAAGAACAATAATTGTCAGGGAGAAAAGCAAGCATGTGACTAAATGCAACACTAATAAGATAAATTGGGACAGTTTATGGTTTCTAGGACTGAGCACGGTTCAAAATCTACTGTGTGTGTGCGTGTTTTTATGTGTGGGTGAATGTGGCGTGATATTGCCACATAACAAAGAGGAGCGACTCAATGAAACTGTTATTGGCTGTGACCTATGGGCCTGTGGTGCTGGCATTTGTCCAGCCTGATTCAGACCCTCAATGTGGGGTTCTTTATGGTGCACAGATAACATGAGTGAAAGTTAAAATTGATATATGCAAAAAAAAAAAAAAAAAAGCATCTGTCCTGATGAGCAACATAAAGGTTAAAGAAATATAGTTTATAGATTATTAGGTAATGTCTCCAGTGGTGTTAAAGGTGTTGGGACCCTCTTTTGACATGCATTACCACAGTGAATACTGTGTCTTGCTTCAATCCACTAATTATAATTTTACCATCATAAAAACCAGCAAGCTAATTTATATTAATTGTTTGTGATTACGAACAGTTTCCTTGACACGCTAGATGTAGCATGCAGTAACATTGTCAGAGACATATAGGTTAGTGGCTCATAATTGATCGATGTACACAGTGCCATAGTCCTTGTGTTGTGTGTGTGTGTGCTAGTGACTTGCCTGGGTGAATTAGAGTCAATAAATTATCATCATCTGTAAGCTTACAGAGTCTTTATGTCATAGTCAATGGCTCTGAGCACCCATCCAATGGCATGCCCTTACTAAAGGGAAACTGCAGTGGGAAAAACAATGAGAGCAGCCACAGCCAATACAGTAAACATATTAAGAGAGTGCCATTACTCAGAGCAGGACAAAGGCCAAGACCCTCGTGATATTTAATGACCTGCTGTGTTATAATGAACAATGTATTTTATAGCAGCTTTCACTGGTACATTCAATGGGTCACTCAAACAAGAAACTACTAGAAATATGAGCTCATTAGAAAGTAATTATTGCTCTTTGTTGTGCCCTTCTGATCTGCTTACTGTCAGTGTCAGTATTTTAATAGTTACTCCACAGTCATATTACTGTGTTAAAAGGGTAATCAAAGATCGCTCAAAGCATGTGTTTCTGAGTGCAGGAATGGTTGGTATGGGCCCAGGCCTGCTCTCTTAGCTGCAGCAGCATCATGCAGGTTGACATGCTTTATAGCCCCAGTTGCCCTCTCTGGGTCTGTTTATGGATTCTCATAGAATAGAGAATCATGGCCACTCCAGGAGAAGTCAGCCAAAAACAACTGCTGTACCACTCTCATTCTGCCAGAATGGCACATAACTCACGCAGCAGCTTCTGGGGCAAAAAGTCTTCATAGTAATGATATAAGATGATTGTAAATTTTGATGCTAATGTTTATTTTTTGTTGATTTAATATAAAAATGTCACTGCAGATGTGGCTGGTTTATTGGGTGCTGCTGTAAGTTGATGAAAAAATGTGGCTTTGTCATGAGAAGGGGCATGAATTGCAGTGCCTTCTGTTTTACAGTTGCTTTAAGATTTATTAGCTGAAAATGCACAGCTTTAATAGGATAATGAAAGTGTAATGTCAAGGACATTGTTAATTGGAAAGCTGTATGCGTTGATAACACTTGAGTAATATGCTTGGACACATCTGTTTTGAGCAGGACTAAGGTCTATTCCTCCCCCTTTGACTCAGACGGTGATCAGGAGGGCAGTGTGCAGTGGGCGCCCGCTCCTCTGATGCTGCTGTGGTGCCCTGACAGCAAAGGCTTCTGGGTTATGACTGTGATCAAAGGGTCAGCACTATGTTTAGGTTTTGTGATGATGCAAAAGAACATTAATGGTACCCATAAGTCATCTTTCACTGTAGGCAGTCAGCCTCAGACACAGCAATGTTGGCCATAAAGCTTTATGAGTGTTTCTTTGCTGATAGTTAACTCTCTCCACCACATCTGTCAGAGGGGAACATACATCTGCTTTCTGCAAATGATGCTCCATGTTTAATCTTGTTTTTACACCTCTAAACATACTATACCGTTGTACATACCAGAGACGAATTTTGCATGGAAAAAATGAGCATATTGTGTAGCATGGCATACCTCTTGAACCCTTGCCTTCCACCCCCTCCATTTTCTTCTCTCCCCTTCCTCACTTTCTCCCCTCCCTCGTGGATTCCCCAACCAGCACCACAACACCGTTAACAGAAGCGCCTTGACAGATTTACTACCACCGTCTTTCCATTGGCCGCCAGGCTGACAGCACAGATTTAAGGCTGCCTCCTGATTGGCCAGAACAGTGACAAGCAAATTTACAGCCGCACCGTGATTTGATGCTTCTTGCCTTTGAAGTGAGTTACAGCTCTGTCGCTTATAGGACACAGAAACGGTGTCAGGTTGCAATCGTAAAATCTTATCCCTGGAGGGAGGGAGGTGGCTCTGGAGTATAATGGTTCGACGTCATGAGAGAGAAGAGACTATCTTTGGAGATAAAGGAGGTTGGGGAATGGAATACTTGAGTTTGTGTGGAATCAAGTTGATCAGATATAGACAGTGTGAAAACTCATTTTTGAAAAGGGTGAAAATGGTGTTGACTTAAACTACAGTAATAAATGCAGATTTTTTTTTATATACAAAAAAAATTGATTATTTTCAAGTGAAAGTAATTCTGTTGCTCAAGTGCATTTAACTTTGTAACTTTTTTTTTTTAAGTTTAGTTTTAAATTAAGTTAGTTAAGTGATTGCTACATAATCCTTTGTATGTTAAAACTGCAGTGTCCAACTGTAAATACAGTGTTTAATTTTCTATTCCTTGTTTTCTTTTCTTTTGATAGTACTCTAGACCCTTAATTACCAACTTAGTTACTCCTTAGTGATGGCTAATAAGAAGCAATGTCACTTTGTCCCATCTGGCACTATGTGTTCTAGCCAGATCCATGTTTGTGATCCATTACTATCTGCACCCTGTCTCCTCATCAGTCCATTCTGACATGATGAAAAAGAGCGACCCTGCTACAGCCTTGACCCATGGAAATCTCTTCGGGGTAAATTGCACATCTGCCCCTGCCCTGTCTCTCAACCCTGAGTCCATCCATTCTGCTCTTCCTTCTGATATTGCACTCTCACGTCACACGTACGATCATCTGCTCTGGTGGATATTTGTCAGAAAATAAGAACTGCAGAAGACCTGGACTTGCCTTGTCAAGAGAGATTACGTAATCTCAGACCTTCTGGTGAACTTGATATCACGAGGTCATGCAATGTGTCCTCCTGCAGCATGCAATGGAAAAGAGAGAAAACAGTTTTTACACAGTCCTTCTCTCGACTAAAATTATGGAAATGGTGATATGGTCATATGCATTGGTCTGAGAGCAATAGCAGCTCTTGGCTGTCTTCTTCAGTAGTAGTTGAGACATAAACCACCAACCATCAAGAGTCATTTGCTTTAGTCCACACCTCATGTCATTGTGACAAGCACCTCCAACTTGTCTTGGACAGGTTCCGCTGAGTTCTCCAGGTTTACCACATAAAAGTAAAATTTGGACAAGTCTAAGTAAATCCTCCAGCTAAATGGCCCTGACAGAAAACCTGGCTTTGCTCAGGTATGCCTCCTTGAAAGCTACACAGCATATATATATAATATATATATATATATATATATATATATATATATATATATATATATATATATATAATATATATAATAGAAAAGAAAAAGTAGAATAATATGTTGAACAAAGATACAATCTTTTTTAGCTTTTAGGATATTTTGGATACAGTCAGTTCATAGACATTAAGAAAACCACATTAAAGATTATACACTGAGTTCCTTCAAACATGTCCCAACAATCCAGTAATTAATACATACTTGCAAGGCCTTGACTCAAAACACCCCTTTCACTGATCTGACCCAGGCAACAGGCTGCCACAGTGTTCATCCTATCAGGGAGGCCACTGCTTGGACATATAAATCTTAAAATTGGCCTATCCAAACAGAGAGTAAACTGTAATACACTAAGATACCACATATTTAACAGAGTAGTGACCTGATTGTCTCTTATTATTGTCTGACAAAATCCAGACACCCAAAGTGTTTATCTAAACATGACTCCACTGTAGAAGAATTAGACTGAAACTATGAATATTCATGATTTGACATAAAAGTAGGCCAAATCCAAACTTCACCTGTTCCCTTGTTAGCAATGACAAGGTGACAGCTCTGGTTGCTGTTCTCATCCGTGTTAAACCTTGTGTCCTGGGAATGGTACAGTAGGCCAATTTATCTTATTGTGTCAAACTAATTAGAAATGTGCTGGCACGTTTGTATGTGAGACACCTTGAAGTGAGAAATTACAGACCATGTTTCATCTTCTTTCCCATACCAGTTTGTATGTTAGTGCTATAGCACAACATAGAAAACATACTAATGTATACAATTTGATCAAGGTAATGTTCAAGGTAATTTCTATTTTACTTTAAAGCTTAAAGATACACATATGTTACATTACACATAATTCCAGCCACACTTTTTGTGGTGGGGGAGTTAACCATTTGCCCACCAACCAGATGGTGGACTGTTCTTGCCAAAGCTTATAAGTACTGTCATTGTGTCCCTGCAGGCACCCACATTGCCCTAGAATCATAAATATATAACTATTATATATTCATTATACTATTATACCACCATATGTGACTGATTGTTATGGTCAAGAGCACAGACCGTAGGCGCAGAATGGCAGCCATGCAATGAATAAAGTCTATAAATAATAGACCAAATTGTTAAGTGGCCTGGTGTTTCTAAGCTCTATATAAGACTTTACTATTCAATAAAATAAAATTGTTACTAGTACCTGATAACCATTTTCTCATGAAGTGAACTGGGATTCAACCACATACACAATTTATATCTGTATAATAGCCCATATCTTAGAGAATTGTAATATTTGGTCATCATTAATAGTCGATGCCTTCATGATTAATAGAAAACTATTCAGGAGGTTAAACACTTACATGGCACAAATACACGAATCACCCTCAAAACAAAACATTAGGCTTTGTCTCTGTATTCATACTATTCATATACATTTCTAATAATTATAGAAAATAAAGTGATTGGGTTGCCTCGTTGATGAGAAACAATTCTTTGATGGTACAGCACAGACACAAGAATTAAAATGTTAATGATCAGCAGCAGCCGCAGCAACGTGCTGATGGCCACAGAACATCTTGGACAGCTTAAATATCACTGCTAATTAACACAGAGAGGTGAGCTGTCACTAGGGTGATGGATGGAGGGCCAGGCACATCACTACTTTCACCCAACCAGTGATTTCTTTATTAATCAGAGCTGAGATGAAAAGAGCCCTGCACACCTCGGGGAGAGGAGATAGCAGTGCCTTTTGTCCAGAGGGCTTCAATCATGCACCACCAGCTCGAGATGTATTTGATCAGAGGACATTCAAACATTTGCAGGAGGCCGAATGTTGCTGGTACAGGGAAGGTGTTTTTGTAAACCTCTGAACTGCCCAAATGTTGACCGAGCAGCAGTCTGAGCAGGCAGGGCAGATTTACACGTGGCTGGGGAGATTTTTTGTTGGACGGGGCCATTCTTTTCTTGTGTGACAGCAGAGGTGAGGAGAGAGCTGGCTATCAGTCCTCCCAGTTCAAGTGAGGGAGGCTGCCTCCTACACTTTACCTCTGCAACACTCCATGTCTGTCTCCCAGAGATGATTTCGAACCTCCATGATTTCAGCACTTTGTGTATGAAGATGGAGTGTTATCTCTCTTCTCTGATCTCCTCCCATCTACCTCACTTAAGCAGGTCCATTGTTAAGTGCCGAGGGCCTGTGGGTGTAGTAAATCAGGCGGCACAGGAAGGGGATGTCTCCCTTGGGAGAAAGAGCACACTCCCAACAGCCTTCAGGCTGATCTCATCCTGCCTAACCTAATGCTTTAATTAAAGAATGGTCAATAGCAAAGAGAAAGGTTCTAAAGGGTCTGCACTGCCTTACACTCAGCTTATGTTGCATACCTATAGAACAAATGATCAACTACTGTGGCATAGCTACACATAGAGGGGGGAACGGTGACAAGGCACCAATTGTCTTCTCAACTACAAATTATATGGTGAAGGAAATATTATCAAGCAGCTTGTGTTATAGCGTTTTCTTATTATGAAAAACGGGTTTACGCTCGTATCTCACCTTTTTGTCTTGCATGGACAAAAACATGCTGTATGCATCTCCCTCTAGTGGTTGAATCGAGGCACTGAAGGCACATGTAACGAGAATAATACAACAGAAGCAAGTTTCTTATCTATAGTTACTTTTGTTTATATGTGCCCGCTTGTACGGTCTTATGCAATAAAAAACAGTTGCCACTAATTGCACTCCTCCAGACTTAAAAGTCGTATTTGATTCAGATGTTGACTTGAAAAGGATCCATTAAATTATCTATTCAGTAAAGGCAAAATTAGTTTCTGGTAAATTAGTTATTGTAACGAGTGCACTGCAAGGTACATAATCCCTATGCACATAAGGTACATTTTAAAAGCCTTTGGCTTTATTTAACGTTGTAGACATTGATGCCATCTGCTGACGCATTTGCAGAATTGCATTTATTTTGCGGCATTAAAAAATAGTCTACAGTGCGTCATACCGGTGTAAATTCACAACAATACTAGGCAATATATTGGAATGTTTATTTAGACTTGTAGCTCTACACAACTCTTCAATTATCATTAATTAAAAATCAGTGTAAATGCTTCACTTCAGCTATAAAATGCAGAGGAGGGAAAAGGATTCCTGCAAAACTCTGGAAACTTATAAAACTAAACTGCATTTAGGCCCCTTGGTGACCCCTACTTAAGACTTATTTAAAATATATTAAAAAGAGTATATATGTATATAAGAGAGTTGCGTCTACACTCTACAACTACATTGGACAAAATCTAACACTTTCCTGTAATTCTGATTTATCTCGAACAGGCACAGAACACATTTGTCCTGCTAGAGCAACTGTCAGGTTTGCAACCCATTGTTTATCAAACCACATCCAATCTGCTATCCAGTACAACAAAACTAATCTTTCAAAATGAAGCATTAGGACTAGAGAATGATCAGGTAGAACACTTGATTTGTATAATAACATTGCTTGCAATCAATTAATATACATCAGTATACATGTTTGGAAGTAAAGGGCCACTCCAGACATTAGTGACCATTGAGAGCTGGTGTCAAGTTCTACTGACATGTTTCCTTGGTTGGCATTGGACAACATTTCTCACTCACTGGAAGCTCCTATGCTTCACAGTCAGTCATAGTGTTGTGGAGCTTGAAAGAGTCATTTCTGGTGTTCTTTTACTTACTGGTTTGCATGGATAATCATGGTTGGGTTTGTTTGGATTTTTGCAATAGTGGGAGGAGACCTTGATATATGTAGCGAATGATGATTTGGTCTGGACTAGTCTTCAAATAGACAAGGATGTAACCAGTATGCTGAATGTAACAACTAAAATAAATGTAACCATAAAGAAAAATCCGTAAATGATCCTTTATGCCTCATGAGTGCTCACTACAATCTTACTTGTCTGTAGGACTTGAGAGCACATAAGTTTGTCATTCACAAACTTTTTTGTAGAACAGTTACATCTTTAGATGTCCATGTAAAAGTTGATGATTGCCATTCTCTCACGCCATCAATGTTATGGGTCTGAAGTCCATCAAATGCTCTTTAATTTAGAAGGTCAGTAAGGTACGTCTGATAGGCTGTTTCAGTGTGTGAGAGTTTTTCAGACCGTGGCTTTTTCTGCAGTATTGTATTGAGTCCATGTTAGAGGAAGCCAGCAGGTCACACAGTTAGACGACTGTTAGCTGACTGTAAAGATCCCCAGGCACTAGTGTGTGAGGAGGCTGCCTGCGAGTAAGACTGATTTTCTTCTTTAACAATTCCTGTTGTACATAAACGTCTATGTCTCAGCAGCCGATCTGTCCGTGAGAAGTTCTGAAAAGACAGGAACGCACATTGTTTTGAAAAGAAAAATAAAGAAGTAAAATTTCACATACTGGATTTGTATCACCAACCTGACGGCAGCGATCACACTGGTACGGTTTTTCACCACTGTGAACACGTTTGTGTCTGTCCAGATGATAACGCTGAATAAAGCGCATATCACATGAATCACAGGCAAATGGCTTTTCTCCTGTCAAAAGGCACAAGGTATTTAAATACAGTACATTAAAACATAACAAAACTATACTGAAATAGCTCATTCACCTGTATGGGTCAATATATGTCTCTTAAGATGATAGCTGCTCCTGAAGGCTCCGTAACAATGGTCACAGATAAAATTCTTCTGAACTTTTAGAGATAATTCATCATCTTCAAGTGGTGCCATAAAACGCTGGTAGACATGTAACAGAAATACGTGAGATCTCAACATTTAAATGGTACTTTGATATTTTGATAGATTTTTTTTTTCACCTGTTCTTCTGCTTTTATTTTGGTGGGCGAAGGAGACTTTCTGTGCTTCTTTTTGGGTTGCATATTCTGATTTGCCAACATGTCTTCATTCAAAATAGATGAACAATAGCGCCCATCTTTTCCAACCAGCTTTGGAAGAGAAAGCGTAGAGGATCATAAAGTGTTATCTTGAAAAGCAATTTAAAGCCACTATTGACCAGCACCATTATGTAAAAGCAGACAAGACTCTCACCAGAGGACCGACCCCTGCTGACAGATGGTTAACATGGCTGTGTGGAGGCTGTCCGTGCTGCACCTGGTGTCTGTGGTTTTGACAGAGCTGCAGGTCGGACTCAGGACAGTCTCTTCGCCCTTGCCCCAAAGGTGACATCATCTTCTGCCCTGGTATACTGTTGGCCTGCATTAGTGCCATGCTGGACAACAACACTTCACAGCCCAGCAAACCAGTCTGGCAGCAAATAGGTAGTTTTAATGGGGAGACTATTTTCAGTCACTCTAAAAAAAATCTTCCAAAAATCTCTTATGTTCACAAATGATCTCACAAAAGAGAGCAGTTCAGCAGGAGAGACTGGAGAAGACTAACTGAATTCATACAAGATAACGTTACAATTATTCTTGAAGAAATAGGGATTTTCCTAAAATAAACACTATTCAAAGGGGTAGCCTTTGAATAAAAACAGTAAAACTGTTCTGTTTCAGTCAGGAGGTTTGGATAGAACAAATAGAGGATAAAAAACAAATTAACGAGGAATATGTTGATACTATAGTATTAATAAATAGTTAGAACTGAGTAGTTGATAGCTGATAGCCGACTGTGTGATGAAGAAAAACTGTGCATAACGAATGGTTCAAATTTCAGTGAAACGGGTCAGAGACAACTCTGAGCCTGGACCCCCACCCCCACATGAACAGCACAACAACAGCAGGGCGTGCGCGCACATCTCCAAGCACAAAAAAAAAAAAAAACGCACTGGCTTCGCACAAGGACTATAGTGAGCCTTTTATGAAATCTGCAACATCAAACAACGATCAACTGCACATACCTTTTTAATCTGACTTTTGCTTATTTGGTTTCTTGCAGATCTTCCAATTTTCCTTCTAGTTTACAAACACAGACCGGAAATGCCACCGGAAGTATTTAACAGGGAGGCTGGTTATTGGTCAAACGTCAGATCCTGTGACCAAAGAAGACAACCCCATCTGAGTCTGATCAAAGATCTTTATTATAGAGTTGAAGATTTTTAATACAGTCAAAGAAGCAATTTGCCTGTGTTTACTAGTAGTAAAATTATAGGTTATGAGGATTCAACGCCTTAAAATATTGTTTTAATAATGTTAGCCTCTAGTAATGCACTAATGAACATTTTTATCACGAAAAACACATTCCTTAAACATTAATGATTAATATATGTCACAACTAATTATATTGTAGCCTTCAGTCATTTCAAGTTGTCAAAATGTAATCTCAATAGTAAATATTCCTAGAATCAACTATAACACCAATATACATTTTTCTGAAAAAAATCAAAATGTCTAAATATGAAATAGTCAACTGTTGTTCTACATTTTTCCACTACAAATCTCTCCCCAGGCGTTCAATTTCATCCAGAAAAAAGTCCAAATCTTTTGTGGAAACTAATGGCGAGAAGACTGTCACACGGAAAAAATTGACCTTGTTTTCCAGAGGTTGGTACCCAACCATCATTGAGCCCTGTCTCACCATGCGCTCTTTTATGACTGGTGCCACCTAAAATGAAATAAAAAAATAAAAAGCATGAAATCCTGTTTTGAAGTGCATATCTCTTTATATGTTATTTGTTATAAACAAACCTTTGCTAATCGGTCTTCATAATCTTCATTTAATTCCTTTCCCCTCAGACTGGGAGGTATGTACCAAAAGCATAGATTCACAAATTCAGGCTGTTTTAAAATAAATAAATAAATAAAACTTTGTAGGCACAATGACAACATTCTATTTTACGCAGAATTGTGTTTTTACTGCTCCCAATTACCTCATTCAAAATTTTGAATCCCTCTGTTTTCTTCATCTGCTCAGTAAGATATCTATAAGTTATATTTGATTATAAAAAGTTCATGTACATTTCCTTGTAATTACTTTACTTTACCATATTATTATTATTATTAGTACATTATAAACTTTACCTGACATTGGAAAAAGCCTTGTTGACTCGCTCTGCCAGTCCACTGGAACCCACAGCTTTCCACATCAACCACAACTTAAGGCAATCTACCTTGCGACTGCACTGCAAAGATTTATCCCCTATATCGAGATCCACATCATAGAACTTATCTTGCTGAAAAAGGTAGGTTGCATGGGCGCTGTGGCACTTCTTTAACAAATTCTGTTGGAGAAAAAAGAAATCTATGACAGACTTTGAAACATCGTTAATTTGAATTTATATTTTGTGACCACACCGTAGTGTCTTGTAGAAGCAAAACGGAGCACTGAAGACCAGCTGTAAGCATTTTGTGGGGATTCCAGGCCACTGAGTTTGCTCTTAATAGAAACACAGATCAAATAAAACTTTAGTTAATAGGTGCAGTGCTTACTAGAACTTAAAAATAAAATGAATTAGAGCAAGTCTCATTAAACAGAATGCACCCAGGTAAACTCATGTAACACTTAAAAATCCAATGAAGAAGTTAGACTTTCTAAATGCATTATGGATAGCATGTGAATTGTAAAAATAAGAACACTTTCAGTACTGTCATTATTCATCTACATCTATCATATTATAAACATGCATTTTATCAGACACTGAATTACCTCTCAACTCCTTTCATCAGGTGTCTGTGCTGCTTTGAAAAGAGCACACTTCCACCCCATGCAGCCTGAAAAAGAACAGGGTCCTCAGATTTTCTACAGTTAAGCATCAAGAACTATAAATATATAAAGGAAACCACACGGAAGTTGTCTGTTACACTCACATCAACATGCATCCACAACTTATGCTTTTCACAAATATCAGCGATGCGGTCAAGAGGGTCAAAAGCCCCTTGAACAGTGGTTCCCGAGGTGCAGCTCACAAGAAATGGCACTGCCCCCTTGTGGAATCAAAATGAATGCCCACTTTACATTCAATAATTTAATACTAACAAAGGAGTGAGATATAACTGGAAAACTTAGAACACTCACTTGAGCTATTGCACACTTTATCTTTTCATCCAAGTCCTCTGGAATCATATGGCCTCTGTCATTGGAGAGAATAAGTAGAATAAATACAACAAAACACTTTGACAGTATAAACAGAATATAATGCTACCGATCATCCACTTTCACAAGGATGACATTATCAGTGCCAATTCCCAGAAAAGCCGCTCCTTTCTTCACAGAGTAGTGACTCTGTGAACGATAATTTTGTTCAGGTTGTGTTGATTTTGCAGGTTGTTACAATCATCAGTACAAATGCAGTATATAAAATGCTGCACTCTTACTTCTGGAGATGTAAATAAAACAAGATGTGGCAAGCTCCACAGCCCCTTGGTTTTGACATCTGGGTAAAGCTTGTACCGTGCCAGATTCATGGCATACATGTTTGAGGTGGAGCCCCCGGGACAGAAGAGCCCATCTCCTTCAGTCCACCCCACAAGAAGACGCAAAGCTCTCAGGACCTCATTCTCCATCAGCACAAACACAGGTGCCACCTCATATGTAAACCTACAAACATTTGATTATCATAAATGATAGTAAGGAACCTGTATTGTTGTGGTGTCTTTTCTTACAGATTAGTATTAAGGCTCTCAGAAAGAAATCGCCCCGCCAAGGAGTGGTAGTCAACACCAGAATACTGTTGGTTAAAAAAACGTGGGTGACCTGGAAAAAATATATAGCCATTAAAAAAAAAAAAAAAGCTTTCCCCCCTATTTATTTTAAAAGACATACAGGTTTTAACACTGTAAGTAGCAACATCTCGGACTCTCTGTAGCAGCTTGTCATGAGGCTCTCCTTCTTCCCTTAACTCCAGGTCCAAAATCTTAGCCAGCACCTCTGGCTCCTCATACCTACAAACCTGTGCCATTAAACAAATATTGATTTATCCTCCATGAAAAAAAACAAAACAAAAAACAAAACTACATTGATCTACTACCTTCTGTTTGGCATCTGTGCCCTTGCAGAGAACCTCTTCCATTAAAATTTTGAATGCGTCATTCAAGAAGAGTTGTCCTTCCGCATGGTCAATAATCGGCTCATTTAAGTCGAGTAAATAACAAGAATCCTCACGTGCTGCGAATGAAACAAAACAAATACAAAGTAATATTCACAGTTACAGTTTCAAAATGTTACTATTCTTAATATGCATACATTCATTTGAACGAGTGCAGGCCATCTTTTCCTCAGTCCATAAACATAAACGGTCAAAATACAGAAGTGTTTTCAAGGCAGCAGACTTCAGTTAACCTTTGTCCTTGTGGCACCTGGTAAATATGCAGTAGGAAGGTTAGCCAACATACCACTTACAAAAAAAAAAAAAAAAAAAGATAAACTATATTTAATGTATATATGAGATAGATACAGATTGACTAAACAACTACCAAAATCAGATTTATTGGATTATATACATATTTTTTTTTACAGGCATATTATCAATTGAGCAACAGTCGTATTGAAAGCACATATAAAAAACGCATGATTTTTTTGTAACAATGTGATTATGTAAAAACAACATTAAATAAAAGTTATAGATATACATATAAAAATGTTGAAAGTCATATTATAACATAATGTGCCCTAACATGACTTGTTCTCCAATAAAGACATAAAAACTTCTTGTGACAGGTCGAAATCCTGTTGACTGAGCAGTGAGTAGAGGTAGGTGGGAGTGGCTTTGTTCCCTTGGATGTTCTTCCAATAGCGCAGAGCAGCAAACACTTGATTCACCTGACCAGGGTTGTCTGCTACAATCTGCTCCAGCTTCACAGATGGGATCTCAAGAGCCATGATGGCCATCTCTCTCCAGGACTGTCCTATAGCCCGGGCTACAGACATCAGCTGCTTCTCTGTCACCAGCACTGTGCATAAGGAATCACACAGGATACAATAACGGTGCTGTTTCTAACTAGGTTTTGTTGTAAATGATTTACAAAGCAATGTCTATTTAAATTACAAAAGCATAGTTTTGTCCACACTTGAGTCAAGGCCCCAAAAATATAGCATGTGCAAATTAAACATACCTGTGGTGAAGATCTTTTTGGGTGGAACAACCTCATGCATTTCAGATATTTGTTTGAACTTCTTAGATCTTTTCCTCGTTTTTCTTTTGTCTCCTTATAAACCAAAAATACACATCAACCCACATAAACTGTCATTGTCTATGTAAACTGGCATTACTTTACCTAAGCATAAATTGTCGACTTGCAAAGACTTGATGAAATTCAACTTGGGGAATGTTTCTTGCAGTTCTTGGTCCTTCAGTAGCTCAAGCAGGCCCTGTGCCGCCTTTGGCCCTCGTTCTATGATGTGATCCAAAAGGTCCCGCATCTTTTCATCTGGGATACAGCAGCTTTTGATTTGCCGATAGCCTTGAGGAGTGACCAGTGATCGAGAATCTGCGTGCTGCAGTACAAAGTCGGCCTGGCCACTGAGGATAGAGATGAGCTGAGCCTTTACACGTCTGAGCAGCAGCAGTTCATCTGAAGGAGCTTTGTCATAATTCACTGCCATGTAGGCTGCCACCTAAAACATAGTGGTGGGAACTTGCGCTTGAGCCAGTTTCTCATTAGGTTATATAAATGCATAGTTGTTTGTTTATGCATACAATAGTCTCCGGGAGAAATCAAAGTCGAAAACAGGTTAACCATTTAATTTTAATTAAGTTACATTCACTATTATTTCTACTAATAGTAGCCATTACTATTTTCTACGCCAAACACGCATAAAAGCGCACGTTAACCAACATGATGAGCGTTCAGTAAAACGGGTTTCTTTTAGATGCGTCTTCGAAGACGTTCTTTGGGAATAACGCATGAATAAGCCGGAGAGCAAGTGCTTGAATGTGAATTAGTTTGCACAGAGTAAAATGAAAGCACAACTCGAACCTGGATTAATAATAATACAATGCTTGTTGAGCTTCAATAGCCTAGTATAGGCCTTCATCTAAATTAGAAACAAGTACAAAATACGATTCTTACCAATACAATGAAAATACAAATACGGTTTCTTGTGTGTAACTTCTTTGATCCTTGAGATTCCTCTCCCAGTCCCTAGCTGAATCAATGAAGATGATGTGGCTCCACAACTGGACTGGAGGTTTTACTGCATGTTAAGAGTTCTAGGTGCAAATCTGGTGACATCTGGTGGTGATGAATGGTAGGCCCACATAGCCCTAAATAAAATGAACATAATTAAGTTTATTTATGTGCCTAGCAAAATCAAAGGATAACCTATATTTTAAGCCATTTTCTTGTAAATCAAAATGCTAAATCACATGCTAAACCAGGCAGTAATTAGAGTCCTAAACACAGGTCTGAATATTTATTCATTGTTGTGCAGTTTCTCACTGAGGAGACATGCATTCAGAAATATAGTATGCAGAATGAGGGTTGCTGTTTGGGATGACTAGTTTCTCGTTTCCCCAAAAAGAAGCTGCGGCTGGTTGTGGCAATGAACAGTCATGACATTTGTGCTCTGCATGTGTGCTCTGTTCATCTCAGGGAAATGACAAATCAATAGCTTATTCCAAGATACTGTAGATATTTGCTTAGTGAGAGAGCAGCCTCTGGAGCAGAGCTCCTGCAGTAACTGCCTCAGTCTGCGAGTGCATGTTTTCTGTTTCTGAAAAGGTTCTGAGAGTGAAAGTGAAGGGAAAAAAAAAATAAATAAATAAAAAAAAATATATAGGACTATTGGACCTCTTCCAAATTTAAATTACTAAGTGTGTTCCTTGTGCATATTACACGAGTATTCTTCATGAGTAAAAAACGATACATGTTGTGGATTATGAGTAAGAACTCAGCTCACATTTGATTTCTCACAACCCTTATATGTACATTGTGCATACTGGTACAGTAATGCACAGTGCCCAGAGAAACGAGGACCCCTCTTTTTGGAAATGCATCCATGTGCAGATGCTGAGGAGATTCATGAAAAAAATAATTTGCATCTAAAGTAATGTGAACTATTGACACCAATGCACAAGGCATGGGTGTTTGCAGAGTCATCTTTACAGTATACTGGTGTCTTCATGTCCACCAGTGTTCTTGTGGATTCTCTCCCATATTCTACTATTGTCCATGGAGTGATGAGCCTGAGTTAGTCAGTGAAAGTGAGTAAATGTGGTTACTAAGTTGCCTTATCCCTTGTTTCAGTTCTTCCTGTCACTGAGAGGCTGTTGTATTTTGTATCTTACCAAAGCACACAGGTTGAGTGGTGGCTTCTTGCTGATCACAGCACATGTGGATGACATGCAGTGGGTGTGAAATAAACCTTTACTTCTGCATGTTCGGTGAAGAACAACAAACAAACAAAATTTCCAAACAGAGAGAATAGGCCCTTAAAACCTACAGAACCAGTCAATGAACAAGTACATGAAACAAATAATACCAGCAGAATATGTAGATGAACTCCAACAAACAAACCCTCTCTGCAATAATATGTAAAATTTGTAATAGCACTTTTCAATTTTATTGTACATTTTAAAGAAATATGATGCTTTAATCCCCAGTCTGTCACCATTCATTGACTTACATATTAATTTGGCATACTGTTTACACTATAGCATCTCTTCAGATATAATCCTCTTGGTTTATTGGAGTCAGAGTAATGATATCAGCTGCTTGACTGAAGGAACTGTAAATTGCATGTTCTTTAATGATTGAATACCTTCCTTTCAGTTGTAAACTTAATGCAGGCATTTGGACACAGTCACCGGTACCATGGATGCTTCACTGTATTTGCATGTGCTGCCTTAATGCCCTGCAGCGTACACCTCTGTGCCTAAGGCAGATGGAGAGAAACAAAGGGACTCTGATGCCACTGTTTATTTAGAATTAATTATATATAACTGAAATACCACAGTGAGTCATAGAGATAAGAGAGAGTTGCCAATTAGGAGTTAAAACTATACAGGGTGTGCAAATTGAAAACAATAAATCAAAATATATAAATGTAAAAAAAATTAAATAAATAAATAAAATATCCTTGCTGAAATCTGCCAAGACTGCATTTTCAAGTATAATATGGCAATCTATTATAATTATGCTTGACACACTTTCTCTAAAATCAAATATACATGAAGCTATTGTTCATTATGGAGGGAGACAGTTTGGGAAGACTTATAGGTCCTGCCACTAATGTAATTGAGGTGCCCATTAACATTTATAGTGGTTTAAATTATTTAAAAATGCCTGCGTATGTGTGTGTGTGTGTGCACTCTTGAGAACTAAAAATGCAGGAAACAGAGTTGAATTAAAAACATTTCCCTCCTTTAAAGACTAATATATGGAAAAGACAGTTGGTTTGATGGACAGACCTGCTTCCTGACTGCATTATGGGTACAGAGAAAAAGTTATGGAGTACAAAGTGAGCATATGGTGTGTTTTAAAAGCTATGGGATGGGACAGGGCACAATTGAAGGTAAAGTTTATATTTTGTTCTTTTTTTTCCTCTTCATTTGAAATTTAAAAAGAAATTGTGTTACTTTCAATTAAAAGTGTGAATGCAAAAAGTTGGAACTTATATCTGCCCACATTTCTCAAAAAAGCTGTATCCCCACTGCTTGTCTATTTACATTTTATGCAACTTACACAATACCAATAACATGACATAATTAACACAAGCAATCACCCTACCATCTCATTTTTGTAATAAAAGATACTGGAGGTTTTCATTATTTTTTACTGTTCCACAGGATAACACCTGTTATTGAAATGCATCAGAGATTAGGCTGCAACAATGCAGAATACAATGTATCTATGCTTCCATTGTTGTTGTTAAGTGCATCTTTCTGCATGCAAAGTTCACATACCCACATCCCACAAAATAATTTTTCTGCTTTATACAGCTAGACCTATTCTGAATCAACGGTATGTAATCAAATCCCAAAACGACATGTAGAGGGAGCTCTCACCCTTTTATTCAACCTGAAAATACAGTAGGACTTTCATCTACCTGTGTAAGTGCATCTGCCTTATTTTCAGCTGAGCATCTTACATCTTAAAAATAGAAAGACAGACCAAACAGTGCAAACAATGCCAATTTCCATTATAAAATGGCTACCACCCTTCTGATTCATATATATATTTATATTATATATTATATAATTATATATATATATATATATATATATATATATATATATATATATATATATATATATATATATATATATATATATATATATATATATATATATATATATATAATGTTCTGTCATGTAAACAGTTAAAAGTCCGTATACGGTCATGTTAGTATTTCACTAGTATTAAAACTCTGTCAGTGTTAAGTGTTTAGTGAGATCCTCCATTACACAACAACAAATGTGCTGCTGGTGTGCTGAAGGAATTTTATTGTAAACCTACAGTATAAATAAATAAATAAATAAATAAATAAATAAATAAATAAATAATAAATATATATAATATATATATATATATATATATATATATATATATATATATATATATATATATATATATATATATATATATATATATATATATAATTTATAGTCACTAACTTGACTTTGCACCGTTTTTAACTATTTCATTTAACTAACTAACGAAATAATTAAATAACGTTGGCCGATTTGTTTTTTGCTCATTCGTTCCTGCCTGTCTCCCCCTTGTTAAAAGTCATTTTTGTGAGTGATTTGCACTTGTGTGAAAACAGTTTGAGAGAGCAGTGTTGGTGATGTAAGTGTTGGTGGCAGCCGTCACTCTGAGGTCCCGCTGCGTCTCACCGTACTCACGGTAGAGTGTGCACAAATTCCGAGTCCACGTGTGAGCGCAGTAATTGGTGCGTGTCCGGATATCGCACTGATTCACGTTTGAGAGTTGCATCACACTCAGCAGCTCCAACGGGTGAAGTCTGTCTGCTAATACAAGTTACACATGCTCTAGTGGGACTTAGGATGTGTAGAGACACCACTCATTTCAGGAAAGGAAGACACCTGGAGTTGGTATTCAAACTTTACCTGTACATTAGAAAAATTTCATCTAAAACTCAACAAATAATGGTTCCTCCTTTCATTACTTGCACTACATTATGAAAGGTAAACTAGACCTGTGACTGGATTATTCTTCAAAATGACTAAGGTTAACGTACATTTTTCAAATAGTTGCTCTTTGAGTACTTTATTTACACTCTTGACACTGGGCCTGCTCCTCACAGATTGCATAGGCTATCTCTCTCTTGGC